AATTTTCTAAAAATATGGGGATGTACGTGAGGTTGTGTAGATCACATTGGTATATTCAAACATCCCATTTGAGCAATGTATGAGAAGTTATTAGCTAGTATTGGTTATGTGCTTTAAATTAACGTTTTTATAGTTGTTACGCATATAGGCGAGACTTATCCCGAGGACGAGCGCAGTCAAGGGCGACTCAGGGGCTACGACCCTTCGACATACCAGTGAGTGGGCTTTTGGTTTTCAGTATATACTCATATACTTAATATTTTCCCAGAAAATGCGTTTAAATGAAAGTATGCCTTGAAATGTCATGCATATAAATATATGTTCAGTATATGTATTAGTAAATGATGCATAATATATAATTGTGGTGTTGTGGACGCTCAGGTAAGCCCAGGTGAGTTTATGAATTGTGAATATGAATAACAGTTGTGATTAATTGAGAAGCATAGAGCTCATAAACCTGCATCCCGGTGTTAGTGATTAGCTAGAGATATGGCACATGCCTGTATGTAATGTCACCTCCCGCACCATAGGCTCACATTGGATCCAAGTTAGGTGCATAGTTTTGTCATACAGACCATTATAAGTGGTTCCAACTCGTAGTTGACTAGCGATTTATCGCACAACTATCAAGAGAGAGTAGCACTAAGCATAACTATATTACACCTAGTCCTATTGTACATATCATTACAGTGGTTCCGACTCGTGTGCAATGTAGTGCCGTTTAGGTCATTTGCAGTGACTCCGGCTAGATTGTCTAATGAGCTATGAACTCAGTCAGCCGTTTAGACTTCTGCAGAGGTTGGAGTCCCACTGCCGTTAGCACCCTTTTTTAGTACTCATTAAGCTAATTCCTCATTGTTTTCACACATTAAGCTCAGGAATACATTTATTTGCTAATATGATGGCCGGTCATAGTTCAGTAAAGATTTTAAATGGGTTCGCTTGGACTATGCTATGTATGAATGATCTTTTATTTTTTTTATAGGAGATCCTGGTCCTTTATTTATAGTTCTTGCATTAACCGGTCCGGAATTAGGTGTAGCTATATCACAAGCTCATGTTTCTACGATCTCAATCTGTATTTACTTGAATGACCGATTTCACTTTGTATAAAAGTCGAGAACGAGAGAATGTGGTTATAGATTCGGATAAATCAATTCTAAAAAGAGTATCTACTTTTTTCCAATCGTATCAAAATAATGAGAAAGTTCTCTATCCTCTCGGGAAGAACTAAAACAATTATTTGAAAAAATGAAGATTGTCCGAATGCTTTCATTAATATACCACCAAGCGTACCAATAATAAATTCATCAGCAAGTTCATATCTTGGCATGGCATACTTATGATTATGAATATGTGTAGCATGATTTGAATAGATATATATAGATATATGTATATGTTTATATTCTATTTCTGGGAAAAAGTATACATGTTTTACTGCGAGGGGTTAGAGTATTTTGAAAGTTAAATGTGTTCTTAAAACCTTTGTTTTTTCCCACTCACACTTTTTGTTTTACGCCCCTCCAGGTTTTAGGTAGGCTGCTGTTGGTGACGTACAAGGATTCAGGCGGTTATGACATATTAACCTAATTGTAGGACATCTTATGGTATTGTATAACTAGTACTTGTCCTATTGGACTGCACCTAGACTTTCTATGCTCTGATTAGTGTATTTCACTTGTATCGCACTCCTAGCACTTCCTACTTATTAGTGCACATTAGTAGCTTTCGGTTTTTATTTAGTCGTATATTTCTTATCTTTATTGCTTCCGCACTGTGCACATGGCTACGTCACCCTCACGTGACGGCCAGTGATGAGTAGATTTTATATTATCTATTTTACCCTAATCTTAGTATATTTGGTTAATATTTTGGAAGAATTTTGATACTTTGAATTGTATTTTCAATATAGGACTTTCGACTTCCTCTAGAGCAAAACAGGAACAAATAGGCGAATTTTGGAGTAATTCCAGTTGGAGGGTGTTCCTGAGTCACTTAGCTTGATCATATCAAAATTTGGGATTTTTCCACCAAGCGGTTAGTTTCTGGCGATAAAATAAAGGAGCGATGCGCGGTGCTGGAAAATGACGTTTCTGAGCTTAAATTGCGTTTTTGGAGCCCAAGATGACCTCGGATGGGTTCATGGCCTTCTGGAGAAGTGTTCAGAATATTCCAAACATTAAATCCAGCTATATTGGGCCAGTTTTGGAGCAGCTTATGGGTCCAAAACGTGGCTGTTCAGATTTTAGGAGAATTTTACCATTTAATTTAGGGTTATGTTTCCTATTTTATTTGATAATTATTTTTAGTTTCCTAGTGGGAATAAATGACCTGTTTTTTAGGGTTTGTGTGGGGGGCTTAGCAGATTTATTACTTGGCCGTCTACAATTTTTCTCTACGCTTTATTTTATGCAATTTTGGAGACAGAGAAAATTGCTAGGGTTTTTTGAGATTTTCTACTTAAAGGTGCTTTCAATCATTTTCTTAATAATATTTTCTATGATTTTATTATGAATATGCGTAAATAATTCCTTTTGCTAGGGCGAAACCTTGAGCCTTAACATGAATATGTGATTTTTATTTAATTGCTTATGATTGATTGCATGCATACTTTGAATTGATAATCACTGGGATAAAAACTATCTAATTGTCTTAATGCCTAATCACCATTAGGATCTTTAGAAAAGTAATTTGATGTAATTTTGGTCGGAATGTTCCCTGAAATTGACGCTGGCTTCTTGTGATTAATAATTGTAATTTCACTTAGGATGAACACCACGTCTTAAGGATTGCATGATTTTTCAAAGGGTTTTCATAAAGCATAATGGCTCTTTCATGTTCAGATTTGATCCGAACTTCTGGACGGGTTGGAAGTTTGATATACATTCTATGTTGAAGGTTCCAAGTAGAATATAAACTAGGAAAACTTAGCATTCATAGTGGCATGTGTAGATCATAAGTAATTGGTAACAGTTCATAGGATTGCTAAGTGATGGTGGAACCCTAGTGCTTTCTTAATTTGATTTATCCCAAAACTGTTTTCTTTTCCCTCTAATTTTAATATTGCAGATTGTCTTATTTTTATTAGTTAAATTCGTTTTATTAAATTAGGCCATAAAAATCAATCATCTCAAGTTCTACTTTACAATCATTAATTGGAATTTGGTTTGTTTCAAATTATTTAATAATCCATGTGGAAAACGACCTTGCGAGATCCGTTTATACTACAACAACCTTTTGATTCTTGCAAGTATAATAGGAGTTTTTAGCCTGTTCACATATGTAGTAAAATCTCTATCAGCCAGCATGCCTCGATCTCGGTCGGGTTGTGTCAATGCCGGTTTTCAGATCATGACGGACACACTCAATCAGACCCTCTGTCGTAGGCATGGGAATGTTCACCGGAGGCTTGTGAAAGCCCGCCTTCGGGACTCATCTGCCTCATCCTCTAGGCAGAGAACAAAAGAGGTCGAATTGCTGACATCTGAAGTGTCGGAGCTCATATTGCCGCCCAGTAGTCTCAGCTTGCAACCCAAAGCAGTTTGATGAATCAAATTCGTCTTGCTCTTCAAATCTCTGGCATTTAGTTCCTCCACATTGAACCACCTCTAGCAATGACCTCCTTGCCCCCCGCCAAAGCAGCTACGACCTCCCTGCCACAGTAGGTACGACCTCCCAGCCCCTTAACACAGCGGCAACACTACCAGCAAGCGATTATGACGTGGATGACTACATATTCTAGTTTTTTTTACTTGTTTTCAAATTCTAAAATATTTCTTTCCGTTGTATGTACATTTTCAATAAGTTTTTAATTCAATATTCTTCTTTACATTTTCTATTTTTAATTTCATTAAATTAATTTATACATAAAACAATATTATCAACATTAAAAGGAAAAAATAAATAAATATTATTTTACAAAAATAATTTTAAAATCTTACTACGACGGCCTTATGTCCGTCACGCAAGGGTTTGGGGATCGAACCACAATTTCATCGCTTGAAGTATCACGCACAACGAACACTCATTCGTCGCTCTTCATTTCGTGCAACGACATTTGTCGCACAACATTCATTTCGCACAACAATGCACTTTCCTCCGTTGCGCAATGTCTGATGTCACGAGCTTTGCGCGACGTCTTCTTCGCCACCCAATGTTTCCGGCAACCGTATTTTCCTTTGCGCAATGATTGTCCCTTCGTCGCCCAAACAGTTATGCTTAGTAGTTATTCAAAGAGGTTTCGTGGCTGTGTTTTTCGTGTTTGCCGGGTTTTTGTTTATTAATTTGCAACAAGTTCAAGTCTTTACTGATTTCAGATGATATGTGATTGTTTAGGTTAAGTGGGGAGAGGTATGTGGTGATGGAAGTGATGAAGATTGCTCTGTACCAGGAAAGGATGTGACCTATGACATCCTTTTGACTTGACTTTTGTGCCAAGATTGAAAGTTGATGCCATCCTGCTGTCACGAACAATAAAGGTGCCAAATTTTACATTTTCTGTTATCCTTTTCTTTGATATGCTTTCTTGGGGAAATATTCACATTTCCTTGAACATTATCCTGATGCATCAATTTTTTTTCTGTTACAGATATGGAACTGTTCTCGTGATGAAGGTACTACAAATGTGTCCATCTTTGCATTAAATCACCGGATTTAATGGTCAAATTATTAATTCAAACATTTGTTAACTGTTTGATCTGTTTTTGGATTGTTGTGTGCTATGGAATTGTGTAATATGTTGGCTGCGGGTCTGCTGTCCCCTATACGATGTCTCACTCGTGTCTCCTTCTTCATTTTTTTGACATGTGTTTACCACCGAATCTGAACTTAACTCTGTTAACTTTTAATGAATTAAAAATTAAAATAACAAAAATAAAAAAATACACAAAAACAAAGAAACAAGCCACCACCGAAGTCCCACCCAGCAACCTCTGATTTTGCTGCAGAAGCAAGATGAAGGCTAGGGCTCAGCTGTTCTTCCCTGTCCTTAGAATTCCAAAATCCAAATTGAAAGCAACATCATTAAAAAAACGGATAATTAGGCTCCGGTCCTTAATTTTTGATATTCTTTGATTAAAATCCTGTTATTTTTTACTTTTTGATCAAGGTCCTTGAAGTTTGTACACATCAGCATTTTATTATCAACATATTTCCATGTCAGCATTTTTTTTATTATTGAAATAGTTAATTATTGCATTTTTTTTATTTGAGGCTGCGTTTTTATTCCACGGCTGTTAATGCCTCAAACGCCTCCTATGCCAAACTAAATTGACGCATCCATTCCATCAACTAATCCCGCTCACTTGATTTCTTCCCTTTTTGATTTTCGTAACTGCAAATTCCACAATAATCTGACTAAGTTTTTCAAATCCATCATTATTAACTTTGTTATGATGCTTCAAATTCAAGTTTGGCCAAGATTTGAATCGAAGTCATACTTTATCCGTGAGCATTCGAGCAAGCGCAGTTTTTTGCAGAGTAATTTGAAGAATCAACGACAATTCCGAGCTAAAATTCGAGGTTTTTTTTTTTTTTTCATTTTTTGAATTTGCACCCATAGTTCATTTATACTGATTTGTCCGCAACGATGGATTTTTGGTGTTATAATTTTCGTACCCATATTTACAAGTAGTGTAGTATCGTTTTCACAATTGGTTTTGCATATGTTTGGGCATGTATTGGGGAACTGCAATGAGTTCATCATGTATCTTGTGGGTTTGCAGTGTTTTTCTGGTGCATACCAAGTGTTTGTCGAAATGTTTGAATGAGAATTTCCTATAAGAAAGTTTTGTATGCATGGAAACTGTTTATAAAAATTCTTGAATAAGTTTTTTTCTCTATTGTGGTGTGCATGGTTACAATTCAATTGCACTGTATACATTTTTTTAACAATGGTTCATGTGTTGATGTGTTGCAAACTACTGGAGTTGTAGAAGTATAGGAAGGGGTACAACACAAAAACAGAGCAGATAAGTCAAGGGAGAACCAGCTAAGGCCGAGTGTTTTTGCCATCTATTTTTCTGTTTGACATATACCATATTTGTTTTTTTTTTGGGGGGGGGGTACAAACAGCAAATAATAATTGGACATGGTTTAATTCATCTTTCTTGTTTTCCTTTTGGAAATGTATTGCACTTTTCATGTCAAGCTAGAATGCTTTGGGTTAATGTTGTATTCACTTTCTTTTATCTTTTCAGATGGAAGGTGCTATAGTGGGGAGATGCACTCATCAGGGTACCACTATATCTATCCCAATTTTTTACCACACTACATTCTCTGAAGTGTACAATGAGGTTTGCTCAAGGCTTAGTAATTTGACTCATGGTTTATTCGACCTTACATATGTTTTACCTGGATATTCTACTTGTCTATTGCAATCTGATATGGACGTGCGAATGTTGTATATGTCGGTTGTCAACGAGAAATATTATTGTGTTGATATAGTTATCAACCAAAAGTCGTGCTGTGACAATGATCGTGTCAGCCGAAATACCCCTGCTTCACAAACATTTATAATTGAAGGAAATATTCACAGTGATGGGAATGAGTATTTAGGGAAATATGCAACACCGGGAGGCAAGGTATATATGTCAAACTCTTGGAAGACCTACATTAATCATGTAAATCAAGGATTTGAAGGCGGAGTGGAAGAATTCAGAGACAAACTTTGTAAGTATGCAGTTGAAATGGGATTCACATTTGTGTATGTGAAGAACGACAGGGAAAGAGTTACAGCGGTATGTAATAAGAAATATTCTGAAGGTTGTCAGTGGCGTGTGCATGCATCAGTATGTCATGTACCCCATACCACCTAGTTTGTACCCCTGCTAACAATGAATTCAACACTACAAATAATAAATTGTACCCCATACCACCTAGTTTGTACCCCTGCTTGTTAATGTCAGTACAACAAATTCATACTCCCACCATTAAGAATGTACCCCTGCACTGACACCATATACATTGAGAATATACCTACACTAACTTCAGAATCCCATCGTTTATCAAAATTTTCAAGTTGGTGTAAGGGCCATACAATCATATCCCATCGTTGAGTTTGTACCCTGCTAACAATGAATTCAACACTACAAATAATAAATTGTACCCAATACCACCTAGTTTGTACCCCTGCTTGTTAATGTCAGTACAACAAATTTATACTCCCAACATTGAGAATGTACCCCTGCATACAACAAATTCATACTCCCATACAACAAATTCATACTCCCATACCACCTAGTTTGTACCCCTGCTTGTTAACGTTATTACACAGCCCCTCACACAATGCTAACTCCAACTCTATAAATATTGAATTGTACCTCATGCCACCTAGTTTGTACCCATGCTTGTCAATGTTACTACAAAAAAAATTCATACTCCCAACATTGAGAACATATCCACGCCATCTACTGCCCCCAACTAAACAAATATTGCATTGTACCCCCTGCCAACTAGTTTGTATCCTTGCCTACAGTTCTGCAACTCTCAAAATATGGGCTCAAAAACTTTTCAAGCATTTTTATAAACACTTGCTATGCATGGAAAATTTTCATATGCAAAAATTCTCATTCAAACATTTCAACAAACACTTGGTATACACCAGAAAAAACACTGCAAAACCATAAGGTACATGCTGAAATCATTGAAGTTCCCAAATACGTGACCAACAAAATCATAAAAGAATAATTAATATATACAAAATCAATTGTGAACGATACTACGTTCTCGTAAATATGGTACAAAGATTATAACATCAATCAGTATGGGTGTAATTTCAAAAAATGGAACAATACCTCGAATTTTAGCTCGTCAGCGTCGTTGGGTCTGCAAGTCCCCCTGCAAAATTTTGCGCTCGTTCGAATGCTCGCGGGAAAAAATATGATTTTGACTCAAATCTTGCCGAAAATTGAATTTGAGGATTCATATCAAAGATAATAATGATGAATTTGCAGTTACGAAAATCAGAAACTGAAGAAAATAGCGTCATTATTTGGTGCAACGGATGCGTGAATTCAGTTCAGCAAGCAAAAGAGGCGTTGGAGGCGTTAGAGGAGTAAAAGTCGTGAAATAAAAACACAGCGGGGATAAAAAAAATACAATAATTAACTATTTTAGTAAAATAACAAGAAGGATGACATGGAAATATATTAACAGTAAAAATGCTGATGTGGATAATTATAGGGACTTTGATCAAAAAATAAAAACAACAGGATTTCAGTCAAAGATCTCTACCAACTAAGGACCGGAAACAAATTGTCCCTTAAAAAAAATCCACATTGTCAACTACAACAAATTTAATTTGAAAGCAACAAAAGAAAACGAAAAATCCAAATTATCATCTGACAGAAAACCCTAGGGCGTTTGCAGGAGGATAGATTTTTACCTCCAATCGAGCAATGGTAAAAATGGCGTTTACAGGAGGAAAGATTTGAGACTCGACCGTCGTGGACTTGAAACCTGGTACAGGCAATGTCGAGGAGATAGAAACTTCTTTTTGAACGACTTCACTCAAAGTTGTTTGGGAGCATATGCTCCTATCAACTTTACACAGGACACACAAAAGAAGTACTTTGATCCTATTGGATGGGGGAGGGTGAAGAAGCTAGGACAGAAAGGTAGAGTTCAAGAGAGTAGAATGCGTTTAGGAACGTGGAATATAGGAACCTTAACAGGAAAATCTATGGAAGTAGTGGAAGTTATGGTGAGGAGAAGGATAAATATTATGTGCCTACAAGAAACAAAGTGGGTTGGTCTTAAGGCAAAGGATCTAGAAAATTCAGGGTTTAAACTTTGGTATTCGGGCACAAATAGAACGAGAAACGGTGTTGGCATCATCGTGGACAAGACCTTGACACAAGATGTTGTAGATGTCAAGAGGGTAGGAGATAGAATCATGGCAATCAAGATTGTAATAGGACAAGAACTCATCAATGTGATTAGTGCGTACGCACCTCAAGTAGGGTTGGATATGAGTTCGAAGGAGAAATTTTGGGAAGACCTTGGAGACTTGGTGCAAGGAATTGCCCAAACGGAGAAGTTATTTATATGAGGAGATTTAAATGGACACATGGGTAGGGAGACAGGCAACTATGGAGGTTTTCATGGTGGCCATGGTTTTGGGGAAAGAAACGAGGATGGGGAAGCTATCTTGGATTTTGCAATGGCATATGATCTCTTCTTAGCCAACACCTTCTTTAAGAAGAGAGAAGAACATGTGATCACCTACAAGAGTGGGTTGTCAAAAACACAAATAGATTTCCTTCTAATGAGGAAAGGGGATCGTATAACTTGTAAGGATTGCAAAGTTATACCGGGAGAGAGCTTGGCTAATCAACATCGCTTGTTGGTGATGGATGTACATATCAAAAGAGTGAGAAAAAAGAACAAGACTTGGAAGTGCCCAAGCACTAGATGGTGGAATCTAAAAGGAGAAAAACAAGCCATTTTCAAAGAGAAAGTAATCACCCAGTGTGGGTGGGATAGAGAGGGGGAAGCTAGCCAAATGTGGGATTCCATGGCTAGTTGTATCCGAAAAGTAGCAAAAAAGGTATTAGCAGAGTCCAAGGGCTTTGCCCCACACCAAAAGGAATCTTGGTGGTGGAATGAGGAGGTACAAACAAAGGTGAAGGCTAAGAAGGAATGTTGTAAAGCCTTATACAAGGACAGGACCGATGAAAATGGTGAAAGGTATAGAAGAGCGAAGCAAGAGGCGAAGAAAGCTGTGAGAGAAGCTAAATTAGCGACTTATGACGACATGTATAAGCGACTAGATACCAAAGAAGGAGAGTTGGATATCTATAAACTAGCTAGAGCAAGGGAAAAGAAGACAAGGGACCTAAACCAAGTGAGGTGCATCAAGGATGAGGATGGAAAGGTTCTTGCTACAGAAAATGCGGTCAAAGACAGATGGAGAGGTTATTTTCATAATCTTTTCAATGAAGGACATGAAAAGAGTACTTCTTTAGGGGAGTTGAGTAACTCAGAAGAGTGTAGAAACTACTCATTTGATCGTCGAATCAGGAAGGAAGAAGTGGTTGTAGCTTTGAAGAAGATGAAGCATAGAAAAGCAGTGGGCCCAGACGATATACCGATCGAAGTGTGGAAAGTCTTGGGAGAGACAGGTATAGCATGGCTCACTGACCTTTTCAATAGGATTTTGAAAACGAAGAAGATGCCAACTGAGTGGCGAAAGAGCACTTTAGTGCCTATCTACAAGAATAAGGGCGACGTACAAAATTGCATGAACTATAGGGGTATTAAGCTAATGAGTCATACAATGAAGCTCTGGGAGAGAGTCATTGAACATAGATTGAGGCAAGAGACACGGGTTTCGGACAACCAATTCGGGTTCATGCCAGGGCGCTCAACCATGGAGGCAATTTATCTCTTACGAAGATTGATGGAAAGATATGATAGGGTCCCAAGAGACATTCTTTGGAGGATTTTAGAGAAGAAAGAAGTACGAGTAGCATATATCCAAGCTATAAAGGATATGTATAAAGGAGCAAAGACTGTTGTAAGAACTCATGAAGGACAAACCGAAAGCTTTCCCATAACTGTAGGATTACATCAAGGCTCATCCTTAAGTCCTTACCTTTTTTGCGTTGGTAATGGATGAGTTAACAGGACATATTCAAGATGGTATTCCTTGGTGTATGCTTTTCGCAGACGATATAGTGTTGATAGATGAAACTCAGGAAAGGGTAAATGCGAAGCTTAACCTTTGGAGAAAAGTGTTGGAATCTAAAGGTCTTCGTCTAAGCCGATCAAAGACAGAATATATGGAGTGCAAGTTCAGTGCAAATGGAGGCCAAAATGAGTTAGGGGTAAGGATCGGAGATCAAGAAATACCAAAGAGCGATCGTTTTCGCTACTTAGGATCTATCTTGCAAAAGAACGGAGAATTAGATGAAGATCTCAACCATATAATACAAGCTGGATGAATGAAGTGGAAGAGTGCATCCGGCGTGTTGTGTGACCGCTGTATGCCACTGAAGCTCAAGGGAAAATTTTATAGGACGGCAATAAGGCCGGCGATGCTGTATGGCACAGAATGTTGGGCGGTGAAGCATCAACACGTACACATAATGGGTGTAGCGGAGATGAGGATGCTTCGTTGGATGTGTGGGCACACGAGAAATGATAAGATTAGGAATGAAGATATCTGAGCTAAAGTAGGAGTAGCCGAAATTGTAGGAAAATTGAGAGAAAATCGGTTACGGTGGTTTGGACATGTGCAAAGAAGGCCTACTGACGCTCCGGTTAGAAGATGCGACTACGGGATAGAGGTTCAGGGTCGAATGGGTAGAGGAAGACCTAGGAAAACTTTGGACTAGACTCTAAGAAAAGACTTAGAGTATTTGGATCTAACGGAGGACATGACACAGGACTGAGCACAATGGCGTTCTAAGATTCATAATGCCGACCCCACTCAGTGAAGAAGACTTTGGTGTATTTAACACAATACTTTGAAATGAAGCAAAGCTTATTTATTGATAACTCCGATAAGTTATAAATATGTACATATACATGAGTCAAAATAAACAAATAAGAGGGAGCCTTCACAAAGGTTGCTTAGAAGAAGTCTCAGCAGTCGGTAGAGCCCCAGAAAGAGAAGGCACCGGAGGGGGATCATTCGGAGCCTCAGTACGGGACGGAACCCTAGAAGGAGGAGGCATCAAAGGTTGATCATTTGGAGCTTCATTACGAGGTACAACCCCAGAAGACGAAGGCAATAAATGTCTTTGGAACAAACCCACAAACCGCTGATGATCAAGTAAAACCTGACCATCAGATTCCTTCATCTGGTCAAGCTTCCTCTTCATGTTTGTAGCATAGTCATGTGCGAGCTGGTGCAACTGTTTATTCTCATGC